TGATTTAGATGTATGGTATGTGGACATCAGCATTCAGGTTAGGTATATATTTAGATGGTATCATTACTTCAGTGCCATCCCTTCTTCTTCCTCTGCTTCTTTGTGGGAACTCCAAAGCACCTGTAGAAATAAATCCTGCTGGCATCCATGTGACAAGATGGGAGTTGGAGGCCAAGATCATTTGATGCTCTATGGTACTATTACCAGCAAATATCTGAAATCTCAGATCACTCATTCTCACATTCACTTAGTTAACAATTTAGCATATTAATCTATTTTTTTTCCTTTCCATTAATCCCATCTAACAACCTGAACAAAGGTTCTAAGCCTTTGTTAGAGGCAGTTAGCTTCATCCAAATGTATGGTAACACCTAACACAGTCAAGACTGTCTTTAAATCGCTGTGGTAAGGCATGCAGATTGGCCCCACTGATTTGAAGACCATTAAGGAAGTTTTGGGACTTGCTGGAGGCTTCACCACAGGTGAGGGCAGAATGTGGTCTTAGGCCCTGGGTGGATTTTGAAGAGGGCAGTTCTACTACCATGAGAGCAGGAAATGTTTTATAGACGTCCTCTTTAGACTGGGGTCTTCTTCAGGCCCTTACCTCATCTTGGAAGGCCTCATGTCCTCACCCACCATCCACAGCCTGAGGACAAGCCCTGGTGCTCTGGTTCCTGACATGGGTTACAGATTTTGATCATCCAGCCAAGGAGTTGGCCAAATGCCCATCTCCTGAGAGGGGGTCATCCATTTCAAAAACGCCATCCAGGGTGAGCATCAAGGCACAAACACTGTCAGGAAACACTTAGTGCCAAGTAGCAGCCCCTCCAAATAGAATGTAGTGAGTCTCCTCTCACCTTGCATGTCAGGAAGCTGTGTTGTCAAAGGTCAGCAGGGGCCAGAGCTGATAAAGGGTCCTAGCATAAAGGCCAGTCCAAACATTCACCATCAGACATTCTCCATACATGTGCAGAAAGAAAGCACATGCTGTCAAAGTATGTTGAGAGTAGTGCATGTGTGTATACAAGTGTGAACAGGTGATGCCTCCGAAGTCTCAAGCAAGCTACAGCAGAGTCCAAAATGCAGGACTGACTCACAATGGCATCTCCTGGAAACTTTTCAAAAATGCGGATGAGGAGCTGGGTGTGGTAGTGCACACCTATGGTCCTAAACTCAGAGGCTGAGGCAGGAAGGTCACAAGGCCAGCCTAAAGTACACAGCAAGACCATGTCTCAACAAAGACCCCACAGAAATGAAATGAGGTGTAGCTCCACGGTCAAGCATGCACTATATACAAGACCTTGGATTTGATCCCCAGAACCAAAAAGGTGGGTATGGTATGAGTATAGTTCACTGGCAGTGTGTGGTTATCATGTTCAGGGCCTTGGGTGTAACCTTTAGCACCAAACCTCACAGATATCTCCTGACTGCTCTCAAATTTAAATTGGAGTGGCTGAGGCAAGTGTTAAGCTACTGGCTAAATTGTAAGCCCTCTAGCCTGAGGAACATCCCTTAGAAGGGACATCACCCAGGTTCCTCAGAGCAGCAGGAGTACAACTGGAGGAGGAGCCTATATTTTGGGGTCACTGGTTGGATTACTCAAAGTTGCCCCATCCTCTCAGGCAGAGACTGTTCTACTCCCTCCCCAAAACAGACATGCCCCAGAGGACCATTTTTTAGGTGTGATTTGCCAACCTCTGGCTCATGATCCAGGGCTTTTAAAAAGTGGGCCTTAAAACTGGCTGGAGGAACACTTCTTCAAACCCTTGAAGAGTGAAAGCTCTAGGTGCACAGGCTCCAGGTGAAGCACACTATAGCTCTTCAGTGGGCCTTCTGAGGAAGCCCATGGATGAGGCACAGAGTCCAAGTAGGAAAATTGGCAGATAATGTGACGCACAGTGGAGCACAGTGCTAGGCTACCTTCACGTGAAGCACTACCCTGGCCAACTCTCTCACCATGGTGTGAACGCCAAAGCTGAAGAGCATCCCTCTCTTACTCCTAAGCAAACAGTCAGAGAAACTGGGCAATTCGCTTGAAATCAAAGGGCTGTAAGGACACTGCCACTGTCAGTGGCTTTGACCAGATTCTCCACTGTTTGTAGGTGACAAGAATGGCATTATAGGACACATTAGCACTCCTTAAGTATCAAAATACCCACAAAAATGAAACCGAGGAAAAACCTACTAGTTTTCTGTCACTGATGAAACAAACACCTAACACATCCACTTAGGAGGAAATGTGTATTTTAGCTCACAGTTTCAGACTACAGTGGCAGCACACAGAGGCCTATTCACCTCATGGTAGCTAGGAAACAGGCTGAAGCTCTAACAACACCCTCCCCACGACCCCCCAGGTTACCTCCAACAATTTAACTTCCTTTCACTAATCCCTATTTCCTGAAGTTCCTAACTCTTCCCTCCAATGTCATAGGCTTCTGGGAGGTATTCAAGATTGAAGTTGTAATAACGCATCTGTTCTGAGCTGTGAACAACACTCCAGACTGCACAGCTGTCCTTGACTGCAGACACTACTTCTGGCACGTGACTATCTTGTGACCAGTCTCACTGTTCTGCAAATCTAACACTTCAGTGACTGGCAAACTGCAAGACAGGGAAAACATTACACAATCACATCCTAACAAGTGAGTGAAAAGGCCCCAAGTAGATTCATGGCTATTTGCAATGTAGTCATGTACTATATGATGTTGGCCAAGACACTGCATATTGAGCCTTGATCCCGTGAGCTCCTCCTACACATGCTGGCCAGGAGCCACCTTAGTTTGTTTGTTCCCTCTATGACAGTCACACAATGCCACATTCAGTGATGCATGACTATATTTTAAAACACTTTCAGTCTGCTATTTTGTAAGTTCTGAACTTGGGTCTTAAATTACTTTGGCATCCTGGCATTGGGTAGTAGACATGGCAGGGAGGTAGACTACAAACAACACACAGAAATCCCAAAGAAAACTATACTGGCATTATAAATGATGTGTTTGGAAAGTTGGATTTTCAGTAGTTACAAAGAACAGAAAAATAACTTAAGATACTAATTTGTGATTCAACTCTGGGGACTATTACAGATCCCCAGAGACATCACTTATTGGCATTTGTCTACGAACCACCTGTGAAGGGCTGAGTGCTTACTATAACTCAGTGGGGTTCTGAAAAGCAAATGCAAACAGGTAGGTCAAGTTATCTGAACACAGTGTAGCTAATCTGTATTGTCCTTTGCTATCTCTTCAAAGATTCAATGGCAGCAGTGCCTCAGTCTGGGCCCCTCTAGGCATGTTGGAAGGCTAACAGCACTCTTGCCCACACTCCAAACTACCACGTAGGGCTTGTTTCCTCTCTCTACAGACTCATCCTGAGACTATTCTCCTTCGAGGTCAACTTATGGTCCTGATTCCTTAATTAAAAAACTACGAATTGTGGGGTATGGGGGAAAAAGCTCAGTGGTACAGCACCTACTTAGCATGTGTGGCCTTAAGTTTAATACTCAGTACTGTGACAAAAACCAATCCCCCTCCCCCGAAAGAAAAAAAAACCCAACACACAATTCACACTGCCCCCTACCACACCCCGAAACAAAAACCCAAACCCAACCCAACCCAACCAAAACCCCCAAACAAAAAATATCTGATCCTGGGCAGCCAGAGGACTCTTAACAAAGAAGTTTGTGACAACACTGACAGCTGTTAATAATGACAGTGAGCCTTAAATAAGTCTCTGGAGCCACAGTATGCATCTTCTGGCCTTTAAACACAAATTGCTGTGCAAAGGTTCGGCTGTCCAGCCCAGGCACTCAGTAGATTCCAGCAGAAGGTCAAAGCAGAACACCAGCAATGAGGTTGGTCCACAGGAGATGCTGCATTTTCACAGCTGATGAAGGCAAGCGATGTGTCTGTGGTAATGATATGCCTCACTCATCTGAGTGTTTCCTCACTAAAACCAGGGGCTGCAACCTCAAGTATCAGACACCCAACTGACAACAAAAAGACAGGGGTTGGCATGGAACCCCCCTACCCCCCGGGGGGCCTTACTGGTGTCCCTGCTGATCCAGTTCAAGGGCCCTGTGAACTGACTTTAATACCTGTCTTCACCTGTAAAATGGAGATGTCATGGAGCCACCTCATACAGATGGTACAGATGACACGGTACCAGCACACAGGAAGCACTCCGACATTGGGCACAATGTAGAGAAATGAACTTGAAGCAACACTTACTGATGGAGGGAGTCAGGTTTCAGCAGACAGAAAACTCTGGCTTTAACGGATAAAATATACTTTTAAACCAGTAATTTCCAAAGAGCAAAGCTCAAGTTGGACATGCTGGATTCTTCTGGAGTTACACTAATCAAGGCTTTTGCTACTTCAACACACAGATGTGTACAGGAGGAGCTGGTTAGACGAAGGTGTTTGCTACGCAAGCCTGGTGATGAGTTTGATCCTTGGACCCAACATAAAGGTGGAAGGAGAGAACTGATTCCGCAAAGCTATCCTCTGACCTCCACATGCATGCTCTCCATCACATCATATACTAACAAAAAAAATTAGGTGTAGAAAAAGAAAACACAAGGAATGCATGTTAAGCTCCAAGAGCACCTAGGTTGTGGATGCGCATGAGTGTGGTTTATGTACATGTGCACTTGAAAGCCAGAGGCCGACATTGGCTGTAAGGTGTCGGCCACTATTGTTATCTACCATGTCTTTTGAGACAGGGTCTCTCACTGAACCCAGCACTTATTGACTGATTAAGACTGGCTAGCCTGTGAGCTCTGGGGACCTGCCTTACCTTTACTTCCCCAGTGACCCCAGCCAGGCTTTTATGTGGGCACCTAGGATTTGAACTCAGGTCCTCATGCTTGTACTGCAGGTACTTTACCAACGGAGCCTTTTCTCTAATGCCAAGAGTTCCCATTTGTGATGAACAGTCATTGATTACTGTGGGTGTTGCTTCTCAAGCAGAGTCAGGTCTCCCCAAACACAAACACACAGTCCTGTCATAATACTTTTTTTATTACAATATTCAAAAAACTGGGTATGCAAGTTTAGAGGATCTCAAGACCCCTTCTTCAATCGTAGGAATGTGCCATCTCAAGACTGTATAGTCAAACTATAAAGAAGTTCAAATGTAAAGAAAAAAGAAAATGCAATTTCTTCATAAACATTCTGTGTGTTTCTACCAATCACATATTCTTTTGTAAACCCTGAAAAATTTCCCTGTGAAGCAAATTTTTATATATATATATATACATATAATATACACATATTATATATATATATATATTGTATATGTGTATAAAGTATTGGTAGCTCCCCTTCCCCAAAGATCAGCTGTTTTCCTTAATCATCTGTTATTAGTGTCAATGAACAGCTACAGATACATATTACTTTGAGAATTAAATATGTAATTGTGAAATTCAAACAAGCAAAAGGGCAAGAGGAAGAAAGCACTATGTGGATGGCACATCTGGGGAAAAATTACCAAAGCATCTGTCTTTCTGTGTCACTGGCTCCCTCTTTTATAGACTGACTCTCAAAACAAACAAAACAAAACAAAAACCCCTCTTTTTATTGCAAGCACAGCCTCAAAGGCACTGGGCAGTTCCCTCAACCACCACCACCCCAGTAGTTCCTATATTGCTGCTATCTGCACCTGTGTGGAGTCCTGCAGAGCCTGGAGCCACAGAAGGGTATAGGCCCTGGGACACCGGCTACTGGCTGAGACCAGCATGGCTGATGGGGAGCGCCAAGCACCCATGGATACAACTTTCTGAGTGTGCCAAGGTCTCATACTCACTACGCACAGCATCACTGACTTCTGAATGAGCCCCAGTATTTTAACCAGTCTGTGTATGAGTTTGCTCATGAAGGATTTAAAAAGACTCTTCCAATTAAAAGGAAAACCGTGAGCAGCTTCACCCCTTTTGACCCTCACTACCTGAAAGTGGCCAGGAGGTGTTGGCCGTGGGCATGGCTGTTGAGAGCCTGGGTGGCTATGGGTGACCAACGGGGCTGAAGAGAAAGACAGACTGGGCTGTGTTGGAGATCCCAGCCAGATGAATGGTGGCAACTGGGCTCTGGGAGGCGAGGGTGGTGGCGAGGCCCACAGTGGGCAGGGCACGGAAGGCTACTGCGCCGCCGTCACTGCAGGGCTCGGACGAGGTAGAGCTTCTCTCCGTGCTCGCTGGTGAAGATGGGAGCCTTCTTGTAGTGTTCCACTAGCTCGTCCATGCTGTGGAATCGCCGCTGCCCAATGCAGTAGACATTGTCCACGAGCTGCACCTTGAAATGCTTGTTCTTCCCTGATGCTTTGAGAGACACGGAGAAGTCACTGGGCTGGGGAAAAGACAGAAAGGAGTTAGCTCTGGACACAGGCAGGAGAGACTGAAAGAGGTAACCCTGAGTTTTCACCCAGAGCAGCATGGTCCTCAGGATGACCAGGACAGGCCAACTTTCTCCTGTTCTCAATCAAACACAAATGAAATATTTCTCTGCATGGTTTCATGGATAAATGCATTTGAGTCTCTGACAAGTAAAAACTCATTACAGAAAGAGTGACAACTGCATTAACCCTAGGGCTGAAGAAGCCTGAAATTTCCATTTCCCAAACTACTTCTGACAAACTGGGAATTACTCAAAGTGGCTGCACACAGGCAGCAACCTAGAAATTTCACTTCTGATTTCTATTAGAAACTAACCTCTTTCTAACAACTGATACTCTCAAGGCAGTGGAAAGTTCTGGTCTATTTTAAACACGGTTCATAATTTCCCAGCCACAGCCACACTGAAGTCTAAGCACACATTCATTGAGAAAAAGCTAAATTCTGTGAGGAATTAGTTTTACTTTATTTGTGAGTATATTTTAAGGATTTGTATTTTTAGTAAAATTGGTCATTCAGTGCATTTACTGAAAAACAGCAGGAAGAGTTATTGAATGGAGAATGATTTTTGTAAAAACAAGTATCAGTTAATTAAATAAATTACTTACTGAATGTTGATTACATCCCAGACAGCCCACTTCCTACACACATGCATAAGGCATAAACTTGGACATCCAGTGGAGAAACAAATAAGGGGGTGAGGTGGAGATGGTTGTAAACTGTGGTAAGAGTTCTACAAGGAAAAAGGAGTGTTTCACAAGAGAATCATGAGCTAGAAGACACAATTTTAAGTATGTATGTGAAGGAGTATGTGCATGTGCAAAAGCAAATAGGAACAGAAACTGTTTTCTGTATAACTGTGTGTGAGAGGATGTGTGTGTATGAGTGTGTACGCACGTTTGTGGTGGAGTCAGGAAAGGGCTCTAGAGACACAGGAGCTGAGACTGTGGCAGCAAGGGATGGCTGGAAGTTTGTGTGGCGGGGCGGGGGGGAGAGGGTGCTGTGGTGGAGAAAGGGACAACCTGTCCCTTGTACAGCACCAATGGGGCAGTGTGATTCAGTGGGGAGTGATGGGACAGCAATCTCCCCTAGCTGTAGTCCACAGGCAAGCATGTGCCCACTCAGTCCCCTTTCACTCTCACTTATGCTGTTCTTGGGCCTTTCTCTGTCCTCTGGTCCTTAATCAGCGATTCCCTAAAGTATCTTCTCAAGGGTCTGCCCAAGCAGGGGCAGTCCATGCCACAGGGTGACCCTGCAGTAGCAAGGCCACACCCACCATGACAGGAGCTCCCGAGGCTGCTTCTGCTTTCCCCATACCTGGGGGCTTACCACCCCTCATGGCCAGCAGCTGGCCCTGCTCTGAGTCCCTTTCTCCCAGTAGTACTTCCATAGCCAGTAACTTGTTTGATAGGGTGAGCAAGTCCTGCAGACAAAGAATACTTCCACTTTTCCCACTGTGGGATGGGGGCCCAGGACAATTCAAATATCGCGAGGTCACCTACCCGGAGGGAACAACAAGGATAACAGTTTGAACTTGTGTCTCCTTCTGCCCCAACCTTCCATCATATGTCTAAGCCATACCCAGGGCCAGATGGCTAGAAGCAGCCCAGGAAGGGATGGGCCACAAGGTATACAGGTTTTCAGGATCATGGCCACCAGGGAGCCCAAGGGCAGGTGAGACACAGAACCTGACAGTTTCTTCAAAGGATCATGGAATTCTGATGTCACAGATAAGGCATGCCAACCAGCCCTGCCAACAAAGTCTACAACAGGCAGACCTCCTGTAGGCTTCTGTTTCAAGACTCCCATGAATGCTTCAGATTGTTGTTAGTTTCCTTCTAGCATATTCAAACTGCCAGTGTCACTGCTCATGCTGTGGGTACCATTATTAAATAGGGTCATTTGAACACAACCATGAGATACCCCAGCCATCAATCTGATAACCAAGGCAGATGGGTACAAGTTAGCTGTCATGTGCCATTTGGAAAGTAAAATAACCTAAGACAGGTACTGCCCACCAGGTACCCCATCAACTTGCAAGCCCAGGGCATTAGTACTAAGCTCACCGGGGTTGCTGTTAGTTATGTTCGATCAGGAGAATCCTCAACCACAGACACTGAGCACAAAAACCCACACAAGTCACCCTGCTCAACGCGCTCCCAATGGCTCCAGGTTTCTTTTAAAGGGGTTTTATTTTAGTTCCAAGCTCTGTACTATTAATATTAAAAACCCACACAAGTCACCCTGCTCAACGCTCTCCCATTGGCTCCAGGTTTCTTTTAAAGGGGTTTTATTTTAGTTCCAAGCTCTGTACTATTAATATTCTATAAGCATATATATTTGGTGCTCAGAAAAGATGGAGGTGCTTTCACTGTGCCAACTTCCCATGGGCCAGCGTGCTAGCTGGACAGCTTCTTTAATCAACCCGGACAAAGCAGCCTTACTTCAGGGGTGGTGACTAGGGCTGAGCTGTAGCAGATGTAGAATACACCTGGAGATTTCAACTAAGATGACTTTCTGAACAGGAAATTTGCTTTTAATTTGACATCAAGGAATGTGTGGGCTTCTGTACATTACGGCAGTAAAAGGACACAGCAGAAAAGGGAATTTTAATTTCATGAGCTTCTTGAGTAGAATTTTTTTTTTTTTTTTTTTTTTTTTGGTCTTTTTGAGGCAGTGTTTCCCAGTAGCCCCAGCTGGCTTGGAACTCACTATGTAGACCAGGCTGGTCTCGAACTCAGAGATCCACCTGCCTCTGCCTCCCAAACACTGGGATTAAAGGCAGGTACCACACCAGTCTGAGTAGAAATCTTAAAGTTAAGGTCACAGAACCAACTTGAGTGCTGAGTATGGAGTGTGCTTAATTCCAATTAAGGAGAAGACTTTCCTTAGGAAATCTGAAAATGGACAGTCTACAACAGCAGACATTCCTGTATGATGTAGGTGCCTAGTCCATCTCTGAAACCCTTAGGACCAGAGATATTTTAAATTTAGCATTTAAAACCTTTTGGAATATATGCACACACACTGAGGTGGTTTGGGGTATGTCCCAAGTCTGAAACACTGATATTTCATATAGGCCTTAGGTAGTCTGACAACACAGTATTATAGAATATTTTAGAATAATTTTATACTTCTGGCCGGTGCCAGATTATGGATAAGGGGCTCTCCATCTGTACCTCTGAACCTCTATAAATGCAGCCTGGAGACAGCAGAGTACAGTGCTTTCTGAAGGTGTGCCACCTCTAAATGAAGCTGGGCAATGACAGAATGCAGTGGTCTCCAGACCAGCAGCAACAGCACCATTGGGAACTTTACAAAGGCAACTCTTACACTAGCCCCAGCCCTGCTGAAGCAGAAACTCACCCAGGGCAGAACCTGGCCACATGTGTGGGCAGCTCTAGCCACTTGAGTTTCAGCAGGACTGCAGGGGATCCTGATATACTTTGAGAACTTAAGTAAAACTGGAACTAATCACCAACATTATTGGAACCACTAATAAATGCACACAGCCACCAGGAAAAGATGTGGATGTGATTCATGAGCAGAGCAGCTCCAGGATAGAGGGAGCCCCACAGTCAACTTCACCCATGGTCTGCCATGCCCCCCCCCCTTTTTTTTTTTTTTTTTTGAGACAGGGTCGCTCTGTAGCCCCAGCTAGCCTGGAACTTTCTATACATATACATATACATATACATATACATATACATATACATCATATACAGGCTGGCCTTGAACTCACAGAGATCCACCTGCCTCTGCCTCCCAAGTGCTGGGATTAAAGGCATGTGCCACCATGCCTGGCTTCTGCCATGCCCTTGTGATTCTGTTTGGCCATTCCTCATGAGGAATGTCCCCTGATGTGATAGCTAGGACATGCTGGAGAGATGGTTAACATTTGCTGACTTCACACCAGCACGCCCTTGGGTCTGATGGACATGGAGCTATTCCATCAAACAAATAGATCTTTTACAAGAACATCAAGCAAGGAACGAGACCCACAAAATTTACTCCATCAGTCTTCACTCTGCTCTGGACCTTCTGTGCCTGGCTTTCTGAACCAGACTTAGAGAAATCAAATGAAAAGGCACTGTGTCACATGCACCCGGTCAACAAGCAGCAGGGAACTAACTGTAGTATGACAGGATGCTCTTAAAACGAAGCCTGCCTGAAAACCCTAACACGTTTTTCAAACATGCAGGCAACATTTGGGCTGAGAGCATGTGGCTCAGTGGTAGAGTGCTTGCCTAGCATGTGTAGGGACCTGGGTTCCAACTTAGCACTACAAGACAGGACAGGACAAGACTGGCAGAGTCAGTGTCATCAGGATCAATCTAGAATCTCGCTGAAAGCACAAAGGGGGCCCTGCAAGGATATTTGAGTGTCAGTAGAACATGGCAGCTGGCTCAACCCAGATGAGGTATTCTGAGAAAGAGCAGAGAGGTCATGATGCCTTCTATACCCATTTTGGAAGTTGTCCATCACCACTTCCAGCACATTCTAGTCCCTAGAAGTCAGCTGTGAACAGGCGCCATCTCTCACAAGGAGAGGAGTGAAGAAAGGGAGGAAATGTTTTCCCACCATCCCAGATATTGCACTGGACAGATCTTTCTATGGTTGGACTAAGCTATTACTAGACTCATTCCTGAACCACTATCTGCCCCTGTGCATCCTTTCCAGTTCCCCTTTCTGGGCTCCTCCCTTGGAGTCTACATGTTCTCCCAGCATTAGATTTGCTGGGTGTCTTCCTCTTTGTTGATGACCCGACCACACAGTCATATTTCCTAATGCTGACTACATCTGCCCACCTCCTTCTCTGCCTGGTCCTTAGGACTGGCTCTGCTCTTCCTATGGCTGTTTTTGAATCTAAGATTCTGGAGTTAACAGTACAATCCATCATCCACTCTTCTCTTTAGGAAGCTGTGCTCAAGTGAAAGTGAAGATGCTAGCTTAGTA